TAAGGGCCACAATACTGCTGCAAGACCCATTCGCCTCTTCGGCATGGGCAAAGTTCAAGAGTGAACTATGAGTCGCTCCCAAAGCCTAAGGGCCACAATACTGCTGAAAGACCCAGTCGCCTCTTCGGCATGGGCAAATTTCATGAGTGGACTCTGAGTCACTCCCAAAGCCTAAGGGCCACAATACTGCTGAAAGACCCAATCGCCTCTTTGGCATGGGCAAAGTTCAGGAGTGGGCTACGAATCGCTCCCAAAGCCTAAGGGCCACAATACTGCTGAAAGACCCGGTCGCCTCTTCGGCATGGGCAAAGTTCAAGAGTGGACTATGAGTCGCTCCCAAACCCTAAGGGCCACAATATTGCTGAAAGACACAATCGCCTATTCGGCATGGGCAAAGTTCAGGAGTGGACTATGAGTTGCTCTCAAAGCCTAAGGGCCACAATACTGCTGAAAGACCCAGTCGCATCTTCGGCATGGGCAAAGTTCAGGAGTGGACTACGAGTCGCTCTCAAAGCCTAAGGGCCACAATACTGCTGAAAGACCCAATCGCCTCTTCGGCATGGGCAAAGTTCAGGAGTGGACTATGAGTCACTCCCAAAGCCTAAGGGCCACAATACTGCTGCAAAACCCATTCGCCTCTTCGGCATGGGCAAAGTTCAGGAGTGGACTACAAGTTGCTCTCAGAGCCTAAGGGCTACAGTACCGAACTGAAAGAGATCTCAGCACCTTACGGGCAGCTCGCTTCCAAGCACCTTACGGGCAGCTCGCTTCCAAGCAGCTCCCAGAGCCTAAGAAATTGAATCAGCACTTACGAGCTCGTCGACTTATGGGCCAAAAGGAGAAATCTACTCCCTTCGCCGAGTTAGTTTCAGCTTTGGAGTGGGGGGCAAATGATGAGGGCGGATTTGGCCCTCCAATGACACTATGACACCTGGTAGCCTCTTGACAACTAAGTGCAGCCTCTTGACAACTAAGCAGCTCACCACAGGCAGCTTCCCACAAGCAGCTCATCCTCATGTAGCCTGACACCTCAGAACAACTAGGTGGCACTCGGGACCACTTTGGAAACAACTTGCCTTTGCTAAGTTGATGGTGTCCCACAGGCGCGACCTGGTGGCCTGGCCCTGGCGCGACCTGGCCTTAGCACGAGCTGGCAGACTGGCCCTGGTGCGACTTGGCCCTGCCACGAGCTGGAAGCCTGGCCCTAACGCGACCTGGCCCTGGCACGAGCTAGCAGCCTGGCCCTTGCGCGACCTGGCCCTGGCACGAGCTGGCAACCTGGCCCTGGCACGAGCTGGCAGCCTGGCCTTGGCATGAGCTCGCGGCCTGGCCCAGGCACGAGTTGGCGTCCTAACCCAAGCACCGACCTGGCAGCCTGACACAGGCACCAACCTCACAACCCCGAGGAACTCCCCACCGTACCCCGCATTTTACGGGATTGTGACTTGTGACGGCTCTATTAGCTCACCCACTGCCCGACTTAGGCGGAAATGGGCAACTTTACCAGTTGGTGGCTTTATTCCCACCTAACACAAAAGCAGGTCCCATCACAACGGGAATCCAAGAATTGCTCCACCTAACCCATGAGGACTCCAGTATATAAAGACCTCACCGCTTAGGGGCAAAGGTATGCGAGAGAAGGATGGGTAACCTCTGTTCTCTAGC